CCCCCCCCCCCCCCCCCCCCCCAACAGGCGCACAACTGACAGCCACCAAATTCTCCTCCAGTTCATAATGCGGGGAAGGACTGTCTGGCTCTCCCCTCTCACCCAAGTGAAGGCACGTTTTGTTCAGCTTGTAATTCCCCAGAAACGTAAAGAGTGAATTACGCCCCATAAGTACGTTTGGATTCCATTAAGAAAAAAGAAGAAAAGTTTATGTTTTGTGTTTTAGCGCAAGCTTAATTTTAATTAGCAGCAGAAAACGCGGAAACCTGAGTGAAACATGATTTAGTTCAAGTCTATTTCAAATCTAATATCCAGGAGATCTAAAAACAGTCATCATAAATTCATCAGGCGTAGGCTACTAAACCTTTTTTCTGGGCTGCATAACATCGGACACGTTCTTCAGTGAGGCATTTGTAAACTAAAACCCAGGTTTGGGGCTCTGCTGACTTCTCCAACTGAGCTCAATGTGTCACAGGAACAAGGCTGTTTTGAATGATTCCATGTCTTATCTTAGGATATGGCAACACTTAACCCCACGCCGATAACCTCCACTATTGTGTGCCTGCAGCTAATTAACCTTTGCAATAAGTTATCTCAGTCCGGCCCAGGAAAGAAGGGCTTTTATTTTAAAGACTGTTATAGTAAGAGAATGCTATTGATTATCGGAAGCGAGGCCCAATATCATCCGCATGATTTAGTTCAGATGGTGTTTTAAGGAGGATTTGCTCCGTGGGGACTCTTCCACGCATCAGACTGGGGGGGTTGTGATTGGCCACCAAACTGTGAGCGCAGACTCTTTTTGGGTTTTGGTCTGGTTTTGCCTTTTAACGTCAAAACAAGCCCCTGTCTGTCTGTCCCTGCCTTTAAATCGATCTGCTGACCGACCCGCGCTGGGATTATTCTGCAGAGATTTCAGCTTTCACATTGTGACATTTTACCACCCACCCGCACGTGAGATCAAATCAAGAAAATAAATAGTACTTGTGGCTTCAGTATTGGAGATTCACTCTCTCTTAATTCCCAACGATTTTTACGCTGTTTTTTTTAAACAACTAACCCGTCGGGTGCGTGTTTAACCGTCCCGCCTCCTGCTTTAACCATCCATGTTTCTGCAAATGCTCAATAATAGTTTGGCGTGTTGCAGCCAGCACCAACAGTTTGTCCATGCACGAATCGTTGCGTTGAGGCATCAAAAGGAATTTGATAAAAAATGTTGAGGTCTGACTCAACGGACATTTTTTTTATTTAATTGCAGGTAGTGGGAATATTTCTTTACTTAAAGTTATAAAAGCAGAAAACCTCTGGAAGCTATGGATTTAAAAAAAAAAAAATCTCAGTTACTGGGAATGGAGTATTATTTTCTGTGGGATTACATCTAATTTCAATCGGATCCTCGGTTTCGGACGTAACTACTTTTAAGTGAAAGCCATTTCTCAGATCTGATCCACACGCCCGTTTATTTGGCCTCTATCTCATTGACTATACGGACCACCTTAACAGCCTTTGTCCCGCCCCCCCGAGGTTGCTTTCCTCCTCGCGATTGGCTGAAACCTCTCGGATGGAAGTGGCTGCAGAAATGCAAAACTTGTTGCTGGCTGCTCTGAACGCGTTGATCTCACACAGCGCCAAGCGGCAGAGGGGGGAGTGCGCGCGGATCTGTGAATCAGCCCACACCACACCACACCAGAGCCGTTAACCGGAGGGGACGCACGCGTTGGGATCGGGACGCACGGAGAGGACGTCAGGCACGGGGCTGCTCGGGTGAAGGATGCTGACCGGCCGCTCGGGGCTGGCGGAGTGCGGCTAGAGCGCGCGGCTCCGGACCTGCCTCCTCTGGAACTGACCGATCTGCCTCCTCTGGAACTGACCGTCCGACTCGCCGGTGCCCGGGTTTGGACAGAGCCGTGCTCGTTGGACTTTTGCAGCACGCTGGACTTTTTTTTTTTTTGGTTTCATTCCCGCTTCCAAATATTTCAAGGACATCATTTGGGGGTAGAATTGATTTAAAGTCAGACTTTCTCATTTCAAACCCACAGAGGCAGGTTTGCCAACACGGCTCCAGCGATCCTTTCCCTCTTTAATATTTGGAGTATGGAAGCTTATTTTAAAAAGTCATCAAAGAACATTTTTTAATGAGCCGGAATAAAGAATTAGATTAAAGAAATCTCCGGTGATCTAGTATCTTTTGCGCTCTGCTTTTAGTTTAACGGAGAGATGATTTTGTTTCACGTTTGTCCCAAACAATTGCGCACAGGGGAAAAAAAGCTTTGGAATGTCATAGGTCATTAGTTTAGCAACTTTTAAAGCTGTGTTTGACTCCAGTTTAATGATAGATTAAAAAGGATCGGTAGACATTCATGCGGGAACATCTCTTCAGTTTACGTGCGTATTTGGACTCAGTCTGTCCCTTCTGCGCTCCGCGTCCTTGGAGAAGTTAAAAACAACTCCTAATTGATTCACAGAAATGAACTCTTATTTGGTGAGTGTCATTGTTTAAACGTATACTAAGCATATTAATCTTTAGAGTGACACAAACATTTCGATATTCGTTGTGTGTATATATTTTTTTTGCTTTTGGGGACAGACGGAAAAATACACAGTGTGCCGATGTCTGGCAAACCAGCCGTCATGTGGGATTGATTGCAGGGGAGTATGTTTGGGCTGGAGCAGTTTGGTTCTCAAATTAATAGCAGAAACCCTGGCCAGTCAGAGAGAAACATAAACCAACAGAGACTGAACATGGGCTCCCATTATAAAAGCCCGGGTTTTCACGCTGGAGGCCCTCCCGGATCCGTGGAGCCCGGCATGGGCCCTATGAACGAGCCGCAAATGCTCGGGCTCAACATGAACATGAACGGAGAGCCGTACGGTGGATTTCACCCGCGGGGACACCCAGACATGCACGCGGGCAGCGGACTGCCTCAGCAGCAGCAAGGACCCATGCATGGATTTTTTAACAACCAGCAACCTCATCAAGGACACCCGCACGGCCATCCACCTCATCCCCACCAACATCACCCGCACTTCAGCGGGAACTTTGGAGGCCCTGAGCCAGGGTCATCATGCCTGCATGGTGGCAGGCTAATGGGCTACAACAACAATGGCATGGGACCGCAGCAGGGCTTTGGAGAAGGATTTGATCCTCTTGCTGAGGGACAGGCAGGGGAGGGCTTTGCACCGCCCCAGCAGCAGCAGCGGCCCAGCAACATCCCTGACTTTCAGCATCACGGGCCTCCCAGCGGCAACCATGCCGTCCCTGCCCCCTGCCTCCCCCTGGACCAGTCCCCCAACAGAGCAGCGTCTTTCCACGGCCTTCCCTCCTCGTCATCCAACTCGTCAGAGGCTCACCCTTTGGAGCCCCGACGGATGCCCAACCAGGGAGCCGTGGAGGGATTAGAGTACAACTTCCCTAATGAGCCTCCGTCTGGACATTTTGATGTACCCGTCTTTTCCCCGTCAGAATCAGAATCTCAGTTGCCGCATTTTGGGCCAGGAAGGCCTGTTCCCGGTGGCAGTTTCCCAGGGAACCCCGGCATGCCACGGACCCCCGGTATACCGGCCATGTCTAAAGGACACCAACCGCCACCCCAACCCCAGCAGCCTCAGCACGGAGTGTTTTTTGAACGTTTTGGAAATGTCCGGAAGATGCCTGTGGGAATGGAACCGGGAGTCAATGCAAGGCATCCCCTCATGCAACAGCAGCAGGCTAGTTTAATAGCTCGGCAAAACTCGTGCCCCCCCGGCCTCCCCCGACCCCCTCAAGCTGAGCCCGGCTCCACTAATACCAACATTCTAGACGGAGGGGTCATGATGCCTGGCCAACACAACCAGTTTGAATATCCAATTCACAGACTGGAAAACAGAGGTTTGCACCCCTATGGGGACCCCATGTTTAATATGCAACAGCCAGCTCCGCCCCCTGCCCAACAGCCCCCAAACCAGAGGCTGCAACACTTTGACTCTCCATATATGAACATGGCAAAAAGGCCCCGATTTGATTTTCCAAATTCGCATAGCGGTGAGGGCTGGTGTGGCAGTATTGATAATCACCTTTCTCCCTCTGCCTACCCGGGACTCCCCGGAGAGTTCACCCCACCTGTGAATGAAGGTTTCCCACCTGGGCCCCTGCAGCACCCGGGGCCTGAGCCCCAGTCCCTGCAGCAGCGCCAGAACGCAGCCATGATGATCAAACAGATGGCCTCCCGCAACCAGCAGCAAAGGATGAGGCAGCCCAGTCTGCAGCAGCTGGGTCACCATGGCGATGTGCCTCCTGGACCAATGGCCCACGGAGGCCCGGTTGGGAGCATGCCGCAGCCTAATTTTGACCGGGAGAGCGGTGGCAGGATGCCCAACATTGATGGACAAAACCCTCATGTACCTCAGGAGAACTCCTGGTTTCAGGGGTCCCACCCACCAGGAGAGATGATGTCACGGCGTATGGGTGGAGCGGGGAGCGAGTCAGGGCCTCATGACATAGGGCTGCAGCAGAATGGGGCCGGGATGATGTTCAGGCCAGGTATTGGTATGCAGGAGCCCATGAGAATAGCCGGAGATGGACATGTGCAGACCCTCCATTCCCCTGGCATGCACTCCCAGTTTAGCGGCAACATGGGCAACGTGTCTCAAATGCAGTCTCCGGGAGCTGGAGCGGGACATCCAAATGCACCAGCGGAGAGGCGGCCAGCTGATTTCCCTGCTCCTCCAATGGGAGCGCAGCCACCGTTCCCTTATGGGGGGGCCAATCGCCAGGGGCCGGCCCACAGTGCTCCTCAGGGTGTGAACACCTCACCAGGGAGCTACCCTCCTCAGTCTGAGTTCCCCTCAGGCCAGCGGTCATCTGTCAGTAAGCTTGGAGCTCTGTCCCTGGGGAACTTTACCAAAACCAGTGCTAAAGACAGTGTTTTTGGACAGAGCTGCTTAGCAGCCTTATCCACGGCCTGCCAGAACATGATCGCAAGCCTAGGGGCCCCGAATCTTAATGTCACATTCAACAAGAAGAACCAAAATGAGGGCAAGCGAAAACTAAGTCAGACAGAGCAGGACATTAATAGCAGCACATCTAATGGGACTGGCAGTGCTGGTGCTGAATATTTTCAGAGCAGCACTTCCCAGAACAGCCAGATGCCTGGCACCGGAAATAGCAACGCTAAGCCTGCAAGTCAAAGCCAGACGGTGCAGGGGGAAGCCAGTGCCCTCTCCCCAAACTACAACATGGACGCTACCCCGTGCAGTGAGGGGAAGGCAACAACAGGGAGTGGGAGAGGGAGAGGGAGGAGAAAAAGAGACAGTGGACATGTGAGCCCTGGAATTTTTTTTTCCTCTGATAATGGTAACCCTGTTGTAAGTCCAGGCCAGCACACCCCCTCGGCTGGCGTTGGGGAGAGGGGAGGGGGCACGCCTCACGAGAAACACCTCCAGTCACCCTCTTGGGGAAAAGGAGGTGACCTAATGTTGGGGGACCAGGCTGACCTTATGTCTTCTTTAGACAGCGGCATTCAAAGTGTCGCTGCCAAATCTGACAGCAGCTCACCAAGAATGGACTTTCCTGACGATGTCAGCACCCACTATGGCAACGAGGACGAGGTGTCGTCCAGCTCGGACGCAGGGGGGGCCTCCGCCGCCAAGCCCAGTCGCAGCCCCATGATCACCGGCTCCCCTAAGATGCCGAGGGGTGATCAGGGGTTAATAAATGGACAGAAGCCCGTTGGAATCGGCATTAACAATCACACTACCTCAACACCAGACAGCTACGGACTGAATGCTGGTGTGGGCATAGGGGCCAGTGGGGTCAGCCACCCAGGAACGCCCGGGGTGGTGGAGCAGGTACGCACGCCGTCCAGCACCTCTGGCCAGGACGAAATCCATCCCCTGGAGATTCTCCAGGCCCAGATCCAGCTGCAGCGGCAACAGTTCAGTATCTCCGAAGACCAGCCCCTGGCTATGAAGAATGGCAAAAAGAACGGCGACTGTCCCACACAGAACGGAGACAATGAGCTGGCAAGCTGCAGCCCGGATGCTGGGAAGGGCTCAATGGGCACTATTGACCTTGACACCCTCATGGCAGAGCAGCACGCCACCTGGTACGTGCCCAGTGACAAGGCCATGATGGACGGGTCGGAGGACGACAAAGCCATGGGACCCTGGGAAAAAAACAAAAGCCAAAACAACAGTAAAGAAGGTAAATCCCTTTCCCCTTTTTCTGTTTCTCACATGCAGCAACAGCATATGATTAGTTTCACTCCTAATACCAGCACATTCTGTTATTTAAAATGTGATCTATTTAAAAAAAGAATGTAGTGCAACAATGAGCACATAGTATGTGAAATGCCCTCAGTGAGCCTGATAATAGGGAACCTCTTTGTGCAGGCATAATCCATCATCTATTTTACTTTTACTTGTACTTTTGACTGATTCTGAATTGAACAGGTTCAGCTCTTAAAATACACTGACTTCACCATTCAGGTTTTTATGTAGATAACTTTATTTATGTGCTCTTTTTAATTGTTAAATATAAAAAATATAGAAAAATGTAAAACAATTCAAAGTAATTCTTTGTTAATACCTAAGTAATACCAAAGTATTAAAGTTTTTTTTTTATTGTAGCCTGCAGGCACTTCAAAAGAACAGCTGAAGAAAAGTAAACATTTCCTGTGGTTCTTTATCTGGGTTTTCAGGGTGAACAACTACATTGAGAAGATTAATAGCTTTCTGAGGATATGCGTTTGCGCAGCGGGGTCCCCTCGCCTAACGTGTTTGTTTTTGTCATTACTATGGGATAATACCGAGGAAGAGAAAGTTGATTGATTTTTAGATTAGTTGGACAGAAATTCGAGGATAACTGATTAGGATTAAATTACTGCCATTTAATGTACTTTTATTCAACTTGGGAAATAGTTCATATTTTTACAAAATTCCAGTGGAAGCTGGTACGTTTTGTAAAATACTGAAGTATTTGGAAATTAATTGAAAATAACGGTTGCATTTAAATATATTTGGGTATAATAGTACTTTGTAAATCGGTTCTTAAAGAAATTGAAAAAGCACTTGAACAGAAGGCACATGAATAGTTTTTCAACAAGGAAAGATGTTAATGTAATTTGTAACGGAGGTTTCATGGCCACTATTTATTTTCAACGCATGGATTCTGTGGCGGCACCAAATCAAAATGCAGATACATTATTTTATGATGATGATTTCTTCCTCTCTTGCTTTTCTCCATAATAATTCTAATTATGATTTTAAGTATCATTAAAAAAAAAACAGTAACATTTTATTATCATAATTTCATTGATGTTACACAAGTGATTTAATGCAATTCGATTTTATGGTACAAATCAAATGCAAATTTCACCAAGCAATTTTTCAAAAGCGCGATTTGAGTAATTTATTTTGCGTGTTGTTTTATTCTTGAATGGTTTTCTTGCGTGTCAAAGTCGTTGCATTCGGAGACACGCACGCACTGACACAGGCGTGCACGCAAGATCCTTTACAATCAGTATTTAATCGTCATCCTATGTCGTTTTTAAGTTAACAAAAGGCCCGTGGAACTTAGGACGCATGATGATCTGATCCGCGCACATTCTGGAGCGCTGCGCTCTGCGCGGCTCCGGTCCTCTTTGTTCCTGCGGCGCGGGGGCGCGCACCGCGCGGACTCTGGCGTCCAGGCAGTTTGTTTATGGGAGACTGAGGGCCGGGTGTCGGGTTGTAACACTAATACCATTACATGGGAGGCGTTGTAACTCACCATCCACGTCGTGGTGGTATCTTTTGTCACTGTTCATTTCAGCAGTCCCACTGAACGTTTTCATTTGATCCCGAGTCATCCAAAGCAAGACATTTCAAACCAAACACATTTTATTTGACGACTTAGAAAAAAAATGTGAAATCCCAACAATTCAAAAAACCAAAAACAAATGTAGAAAGTCATTTCACTTTGTTTATTTTATTTTCTTAGTATCTTATTGTATATTTAAAATGATTAATTCACACATCTGAGAAAGCACTTCATAGCCCAGCAGTCTCTCTCTTCTCTCTCCTCTGCTCTGCTCTCCTCTATTCTCTCAGCCCTCCCTGCATGGACACAAGGCATGCAGCTCTGAAGGGATCGATAGCTAGTTAGCACAAATCACGGCTCCTGACAGTTTCTCATTTGAGTGCTTCAGACAGCAAAGATGAAAAAGGGTGGAGGTGTATTTGGGAGGGGAGGGGGATTTTGAAATTGAATCTGATGCTTAGGCTACACAGAGGGGAGCAAAATAACATAATAATTTAAGATAAGTCATAGCCCACAGTGTTGTTCCAGAAGAGCTAACATCCACAGGCTTTTCTCACTGAAAAAAAGCCCTCTTTGGCTTACTCAGTCTAGTTTCAAGTCCTCGATCTTGTAAACAAAAATACACCACAGGCAATAAAATGCCAGTAACACTAATTTCAACTAAATCAGGGCAGTTCTTCAGTCTATCAACAATAATGAAATATTACTTGATCAAATATGGAGATCATTAAGGCTAAATAAATTTGTTTATCAAATTACATTAGTAAAGGAATAATTTTTGCCTCTTGTAGTTAGAAATACAATTTTAATAAAGACATGACTAAATCCACTGTTAAGAGAGTCCCATTGCATTTTATTTTCCTTATGTTTTCTCTGTCAGGAGTGTTAGGGTAATTATATGCGATTTGTAATTTTTCTATGTAAACAGTCAGTGATGTTTGGTGTCTGACAAGATCAATACAGAAATAATTTATAAATTAAACTAAATATGAATTTAGATGTAAGTCAAAATTAATTTAAGTGGAATTCATTGAAAACGTGCTTCAATTTTAAATGTTTTCGCCATTATAAAATTGAAATGCTAGCTTAGCTGTCGCATTCAACTATAAAGCCAGTGTCATTAAAACTAGGCCTACATTACGGGTGTTAGCGTGAGAACAAAATACTATGTGTTCCTTGTCCTTCTATGATTTTTTTTAACCTGAGGGTTTGCAGGAAACTCCCTGAAATCTGCAATTGATTGAATATTGCGTTTACGCACAGATGGATAGAAAGAGTAAAAAGGTTGAGGTCAAGGGTCAGTTTACTTCCAACAAGTTGAGTGTGTTTACTGAAATAGTGTGAAACAGAGGGGAATCTGAGGTAAATGTGTTGCCTGGTATACTTGAATTAGAAGTTGAGCAAGAGATGCTACAGGAGCAAAAAAAAAAAGCTTCCTGTGAATGTATTGGGACACTGTGCAGATATTCAGTAACTTCCTCTGAATGTGTGAAAGTGTCTACAACTCTTTTTTTTTCTTCATTTTTTAGAAAAGTTCAATGGTATTTACAGGAACTGTGCTCTCAGTGTTGATGTCTGTTCACTCTGTGGATCTCAGCTCGCCCTCTATGGTCCCTCTGTGCCTGTTTAGAGCCACGCGTGTGGCAGTAATATTCCCCTTTGGCCCCCATATTTGGCCCCCTGTCTAAGTGACAGTGTGGGGCTCAATTTTTTTTTGTGTTTCACTAGTTGCTAAGAACCCGTGGCCTACAGTGTCTGGTGTGTTACGGCATCTCAAGTACCCGCAGCGACTTCAGGTGCACGTTAAACTTTCCCTGGCTCAGAGGCAGCGAATATAGCTACTTCTTTTTATCCAAAGTATTTTCTACACACTTCCTCTTCCTTTTCTCATCTATAATTCTTAGCCAGAAACTGACCGTTCATTTGGAAACTCATGCACTGTGTTGATAAGAGGCACCCAGCAGGCGTAGGAAGTGATTCAGTTATTTTTATCTTTACTTTTCACTATTTTCACGACACACGCTGGTGTGACTTTTTCTTGTTTCTTTTTTTTTGTTTTTGTTTCTCAGCTCGGTTAAAACACTTTAACTCATCACATTCACTAATCGCTCCTTAAACAGCGCCAATAATGATCAAATCTCTGTCACTCTGACTTTGACAGCTTTGAAAAGTAGGAACTTGGATCTTATCGCAGCTACTAGAAAGCACGGAATGAGTCGTATTGATATTCCACCACACAGAACAATCCTGCCATACTACCTGCCTTTGACATTTCAGTGGAACAACAACCCCACAAATCACACCAGTAATTTCTGTTTCCCTTTCTCTAAGAAGCAGGAAAGTGATTGGCACGTGCTTGAATGTGGTAAAAACAGCTCCGGGCAGTCTGTGTTCTTTACCTGTCATTACAAGGTGTTTCATATTGACTTCTTCAACAGCGTACATTCACAAAGCTGCCGTACACCCCTGTACTGCAGTAATGATAATCATTATGATAATCATAGCAATTAGCTTTGCTTATATTGTTTTTTTCAGAGTCATAATTCATCCACCAGCCACTACTAGAAGCTGACTTTGTTATTAAAGGGCTCGCCGCAGAAAAACAGCATCACACATACAAAACTGTGAACAAATTATTTTTAAGTGGACAAAGAAAATTACATAATAAATACACATAAATTCCAATTTTACAGCCTGTGTGCGTGTGTGAGTAGGCATAGTTCGTGACAAAGGGCAGGATTACTGGCACTACAGCCTGATAGTGTGGATCTGTCAGCTTTGGGCACAAAGTTAGATTTATTTAGACTCGGTGTCAGGATCAGGGACTCAGCCTCCGATCTCAGGTGTCTCACTGAGGGGAACACGCACGCTTAATTCTAATGTGTTGAAAATATTTAACGGTATTTACTTGGTTGGTAAATAGTGCAGGACCGATAAAAGACATCTGACTTTCATTGAACCTGTTTGGAATCTAAGTCGGTGTTTGTGAGAATGTGAGCGTTGTCTATGTGGTGTATGTGCTTTTGCGAGACACTGAGCACTAGTGACACTCAAAGGAAGCTCATAAAGGAAGCGTGCTTGTGACTGATGAAGAGGGAAAAGAGATGAGGAGAAGTGTCAAGCCTTTCGCTTTGCTGGATTTTCAGCTCTTCAAAATAGATGCTCCTCAGGAGTTTTGTTTTTCTGTGGAGAAGGGTGTAAGAATAATACGAAAACTTGTCTCAGCATGTGGCAAATATTCTCCTTGGATCAGGCGAGAACGGAGGTCCTGAGGAGATTTGAACCTTTGTTTGTGGATATGTGTGTCGGCAAGCCACAACACCGAAATTTGTAACGTTTTCTCCCAGAACCCCCAGAAAGCTTCTCGGGCTCATGTGTTACTCTGATGCAGGCTTAGCTTTTAG